GTTCTCTGCGGTCAATTTTCCACCAACGGCTTTCCCATAGGAATGTTTCAAATCTTCCATTGTTCTCGTCTATATATATTAGATGATGGGTACTCTAGTCGATTTTAAGCATTCTAAAAGAAAATGACGTGTGCTATCATGTATCAATTATCATGAGCAAATATTTTTCGATTTTTGGAAGTGCAGGCAATTTAGCCACGTAGGTTCTTCTTGGGGTAGTGCAAGTATATTGATGGAAATTGTCAAAAGAGAAAGTAAATTTAATTGTAGTCAATATGCAACCCTAAGGGCCACGAGTTACTACACATTTACCAAGAGATAGTCATTCACCTTGGTTAAGCTTGAGGGACAGTTCATACTTAAAACTGCAACATCTAAACCTTACGCAATGAACCGAATGTTCCAAAAATATGTCATTACACGCCTCACAATATTTTACTCGTGACACTTTGCTTGTACTCCTTGCACTTATTTTCCTGTTTTAGAACTTGTCCAATTGAATACCATCGGATGGGAAACAGCCATATTGGAGCAGAGAGAAGCAGAGATAAATGCCAATAAAAGTTTTGCCTACGAAGCACAAGTAATGAAGCAGCAGAGGGTGGAACTGCGGAACGGTGAGTACGCCATCAATTGCAAAATATGCACTTTCACATGTCACTATCCGTGGAGGATACCAAACGAACACAGGAAAGCAGAGTGCGATATTGTGGACCGAAATACAGGACATTGTACGGTATGTCCATCCAAGTGTCACTTCACAGAGCACGTTAAAAGTCGACATCGATTCGAGGCTTCAATTGTGATGGAGACGAGAACAATGGAAGATTTGAAACATTCCTATGGGAAAGCCGTTGGTGGAAAATTGACCGCAGAGAACTTGTGGAAGGCCTCCCGACGTCAGTACGCAGAAATGCGGTCTCAAGTCTTAGATCTTGTCAGGGATGCACATCGAAAACTCTCCATTTTAGATGAAATTGCCCTAAAGCCGAATCCTTTGTCCATTATCGACTATGTGGACCTATTGATCACGTCGGAGACCTTCCAAATGAAGCCTGGCTACATGAAAAGGGTCGGAATCCTCAATGAAATCCGTGAGAGCCTGGACAAGGAGGGAATCGGAGACGAGAGGATCTGTCACCAGGGAGCGAGAGAAAAAGGAACCAATTCAGCACGTTTCTCAATGTGCAAGCGTTTAGGAATGAGTCAGAACCACCAAACGGAAGACGAAATCCCTAACCGAAATCCGAATGCTAGCTACATTAATAGAGCTCAGGTAAGTATTCGCACGTATCCTCCGGTTCAGGACATACAGGTATATGTCGTAGGGTTTTGAGGAATTCATGGGGATTTTTAATCTCTCTAGGGTGAGAAAATTTCACTAAACCCGCGGGTTTAGTGAAATCCTCTCAATGTCATGTCAATGTCACTCCACCAGAGGGAGACTTCATATCTCCCTGGCTCGAAAATTGGCCTTCGCCTTTCTGGTCCCGTCGAGGGTAATTCTCCTTTCGTTTGCGTTGACGAATAATTTAAGACTGAATAATGTTGTGCTAGTTATCAGTAACAATTCAGCACCTGCTTCTGCTTGCCACAAACGAAGCAAGAATTGTTAGGTTAAGTTGACGTTCACCAACTGCTCTTCATCCCAAGAACAGACAGAAGTAATACGTTTCCCCGGAACCTGCGGGCGAGAGCGGTAAGACAAGATGGCGGCAATATTTTGGGGGACTCCCACTGGCTTAATTGACTCGCCCTTCCTGCCAGAATAGCTAGTAAAGGCAACTGGCCGCACTTTCCGCGCGGTGTACCTAAACGTGATTGCCTCTTCCAGAAAGAGCCCTCCACTGCACTGCGTCTCCTGTCACGAGTCATAGAAGTAATGAAATCCTTTCTTGTTGGCAGGGACTTGAAGAAGAGGCCGTGAAGGTCTCTATTTACGGCACGCTAGGGTTTTTTTATATTTCCCTCTCATCCAGTCCAACCTGATTCCTTTTCATTTTCCTATCGACGCAATAATGGTCTGAGATCATTCTGCACACACATGTACGAAAGACGTGCCCCTACATCTTAAGAACCCAACAAAATATGATAAAAACCGTTTTCCACTGTTTTTTCTTCAAACGTCTACCAAGAAAATGGCTTCTGTACCGTGTGCAAGATGCTTAACTATTCATGTGCAAGATGCTTAACTTTTATAAGAAAACATTCTCTACTCTCTCCATTTAATCACGCCAAAACGTTTTCAAGTAAATGCACGACCATAGAGTACCAGACAATTTTCTCAGCGACCTCGTGAAAAGTTTCCCAAGAAAAATAAGCCGCGGAAGGCACAACTATCGATAATAAACATCCATGCTAAAAATTTTTTTCCAAGTAAGGTTGTGTAGCTTGAATTCTGACGTGAAGGGACATCATTTGATATGATAAAATTTTCGACACAATTATGAAATGGCGATCGCGCCGCTGTCTCCTCAACGTGAACGGTGCTGAAAACAGCTTACGTTTAACTACCTCTAACGGTACTTTCACACAATGTAAATTCTCGCAGAAACAAACTGATGACATCTTGAATATAAGGCGTTTTATTTAAAGGGGGAAGCTTCGTAGTTATTCCTTTACGAAATGGGTAAGAAACTTGATAAGAAAACCTTAGACTTGTCTGGATCATCACAACACGGAATGAAATACACACGCAGCTTATACTGCTATTACTGCATAAATACAAAATGTATTTATACTTTCTGGAATGTATTTCTTGAGATTTGTATATGATTGCGAAAACAATTATGATGAATATCAAACATGAAATAACATGACATGACGCGATTCTCTATTGGATAATGTTTTCTTGCAAAATGCCTCTTATATGTGACACCGATCGATTGTAATGAGCACAGTTCCTCACAGTTCCTCACTGTGATTCATTGGAGGATTCGAGCCTTATGTCATGTTTTTCGGAGTTATTTTCCTGTGAAAATTTGTTAATGTCTGTCATATGAGCAGTAATTGGAAGACAACCATGGATTCCCAACTGCCTAGTTAAAGAGACTTCGGTGGAATCTGCTTGTCGTCAATGTCGATTGATTGTTATCGAAGAATGTAGTCCCACTTTTCACTTATGCAACCCGAAGCAGTCGGACTTTGCTCGCGTTATGTTCACAGGATGTACGAATGCACAATTGAATGGATCTGTTGGGCTGCCAGTAGTTTATGTAAGAAATGGGGAAAATGTTTCCATGTAACTTTAATTCAAACGTTGGCATTTAATTGTACTCCTTCAGCAAAACTGGAATTTGATTGGAGCTTTATCGTTATCTGTTCCAAGTTTGTTGAGTTCCAAAACTGAATAATGTAGAATGAGTCCTAAATGTGGTGCCCGTACATGTGGAAGCCTGTGGAAGACTTGCTCTTGTTTTAACCTAAGATTTGGAAGCCGAAGGGAGACAAAGAGGTCGTTAGCAGGACAAGTGAGTCATCGACTGCTTTTTGTGGATTATGAGTATAGTTGCGCAATGGTATAATTGGTCCAGCTCTTGGAAGTTGCACCAACTAAACCATTGAGGAAAGTATCATTTTGATGAAGAGGGTGCAACTCTTCCAAATAAGAAAACTTTACAGCCCCTTCGTTGTGTTTAGAAGCCATTTACATTCCTGAAGAAAGGCAGAACTTTTAATTCCTGAAATTTTCCTAGGCGTAGGAAAATTAATTATGGACCTAACTCTACATGAGGGCAATGACTCTCCATGTGGGGCATGAGTTTCCTAGCCTTCCTATGCATTTCATATTTGAAAACTTCCAACGTGCAGGCAAAAAAAGGCTCTCATTGATCTGTTTATTAATCATGATGAATTTTGCCAATACGGTGACAATGTGAATTCGAAATTTGTTGGCCACGGGCTAGCCTGTTGACCTTGCTAATTGCTAACAAATGAATGCTCTCCTGTGCACCTTCCACAGTCACTCAATTCTCTTGAACCCTTGGTCCTCTGTCATTAACTTTCTCTCTGATGATCAATGTTTAATTTTGTGTGTGAAAACAGGACACAGAGGTGAATCGCAGCGGCACACATCAAGAGGAAAAAATTAGCACTGTAGGTAAACATTTACTTAGGTTCAGTCCTCATTCACCACTGGGTGGTTCCTTCCGACCCCTTATGTGTACGTCGGATGACAACCTGAAGCAGGTGAAAAGCTTGAATATGCCAAAAAAGAATGCATTCCTGCTTTGCGACTAATATGAGTCATGTGGATTTTATTACTGGATAATAGGAACGTGAGGAGCATCCCAAATCTCCAAAGGCAGAGCTATTGGTACGTGATTTACCATACTCAGGCACATCCCACAACAAACAGGATTTTGCAAAATGCACGAGCAATTCCAGGAAGCAGGCATCACTGGATAGGAGGATTGAAGTCCTGCTTACTGGAACGTCTGCAAAAAGTAAGTGCCTCATCAACGTCGCTTTTGGGGGGTTGCCGTCACAGAAACTGTAGATAATGTAATCTAATATTGATAGAGACCATTGTCTGATACGTTGCAATATGAAATTTTTTACACATGATTACGTGACTATTTGTTCCTATTTGTTTAATGTTCCCAATTCATTGCAAATGATCAATACGGCCAAAATTTCATGTTCCTTTAAAACGTTAGTACCATTTCCACTGATAGGGTACGCACGATCTTTCATTCTAGTTCATATGTGAGGGGCATCGGTAATATTATTACCCTTTTTTATTTGGAGAGAAATTTAGAAAGAGAAAGTGGATTGGAAATGCGATTTCAGCGATGAAAAGTGAAACTCTCGCTTTTGTACCATGGACAGAGTTATGTAAGAGGAAGTGGTACGAACTGAATTAATTGAAATGATTGCTCCTCATTGTTATTCACTTTTATCCCACAAAGCATATCCCTCTCAGGGGATTAGTTGCTCTCTTGAATGCAGGTTAATTATTGCCTCCAAAGAAAAAGGAGAAAAGTAGTTCACAGAGTCTGGTCGCCATAAAGACGTTGAGCTCATAACGGACACACCCTGTGGAATAATCTCGATGAAGTTCCTTGAAGCCGAAAACCTGAGGAACTCGAATCTCCTTTTCTACTGAGGCAAACTATTGCAAGTGGACTATATATGATACAATGAATTTTGACTCTTCTACGAATAGGTATTGGGGATTTCTTGATTGGCCTCTTCAACGTCATCTTGGATGTGACCAGTGGGGATCTCCATCGCTGGACCCTTGAGAAAGTGCTTCAACCAGATAATGACATCCTCATTCTCGAAAACAATCTCGATCATGAAAACATGTTATTGAAGATCATTTTCATCCCACCTAATAAATGGGGCAATAATTTATGGAGGGCTTCATCCTCCTGTGAACGCCTTCGTGCTGTGTGGATCGCTATGCCTGCCACCCAGGAAGCACTGCCAACTGAATTAGTGCATTTTTGTGACCAAGTGTTAAAATATGCGAAGGGTGTGCCAGTGCACGCAATGATCACGCAAAATGATGACACGATCCCCCAGTCCATAAATGAACTTAGCAATAAGTGCGAGGGTATCGGAATCAAGTTCAGCAAAATCCATCCATTTAATTATAATGCCCTCCACGAATTGTTTTCTGATTCCGAAATCATGCAATCGAAACAGGTATTTGCATTAAAAATGAGGAAAATAAATGAGAGCAATTATCGTCACCTTCTCCAAATGCTGAGGCACTGATGCATTGAGTTCTTCACTATGCATTTGCTATAGAAAAAAGTCGGACATATTTCAATGTCATGTACAAGGTGTAAAATGACATCTTCCCATGCACCCCAGGAAAACAAGCAAAAACTGGCTGGGAAATATTATAGTATTCTCTATTAACTTGTGAATCTGTCATATCAATACTTCCTTTGAAATTTGACATTTCAAAGTGCTCATACCTTTTCTTTGTAGAGTTCTCCAGGCCAACTGTCTACAAATTCACCATGTACATTGGCACACCCTCTAACCCGTTGATTCCGACGCTTCAGCTTCATTTGTATCCTCATGATGAAATAAACTTCAATCTATTGAATCTTTGATTGGCATTTCCAGGAGTACTACCCACTGTTCTTAGTTACTTTCTGTTACCATCCAAGGACGTCATTTTGTGAACTAGACACAAGTAAAATCAAGAGAACAAGCATTAATATAATGGCCCCTTGTGACCCAATAATCCAGAGGTCATCAAGAGGCCCCAAATGCAAGTTTGGTTTTCACTCTCCATGTCAATTTTGCTAATGTTTGCTTTCTCAGTTCCTAAGGCCTCGTCCACACCAGAATGTTTCCTATGCAATTTTTCTTTACAAGTCGACTTGCAAAGAAAACTTTCATGGTGAGGACTTATTTTAAGGTTTTATATGCCCTATTTTCAAGGTATATTTCTTCGGAAGTTTTCTTTCAAAATTCTTTCAAGGTTATCTCTACAATTTTATCGTAAGTAGACTTGCAAAAAAGCATTTTGCGACGAGGATGATTTTGAAAGCTTAACATGCAATATGTTCTCTTGGAGACTTATTCAAAGTCTTCTTTAAAAAAAAGTATTTTGCCTCATTCTTTCATTGTCTATGGAAGCAAACTTTCCAGCATGAACAAGGCCTTAGGTGAAAGGTAATTTCAGGTAGCATGTGATTTGAATATTCAAATATCGACTTATAGGAAATAAAAAAGTAATGCGATGAACATAAGGAGGATGCTAAGGACCTGCAACCCACGCTTTCAAGATGCAGGCATCGATGCAAAATACAGGTAGATTATTAAAATAAAGAAATAAATCATGTTTATGGGCCGCGTTTAAGGAACAGAGTCCTCGTTTTCCAATTCCCATGAAAAAATGTATTTTTTCACGTTAAAGGTGCAGTTTCCTTCTCCAGGAAAAGAAGAAGAAAAGAAGAATGATCACTTTGGCAGGTTCTCCATAATCCAGACGAGCCATTAACCCGGACAAATTTACTAGTCGAAAATTAGTGGGAGTTGACTGTAACTATATGAAAAAGAAGCACAAGATTTCGCTTCCATGTACGTTACCTATGCCCACATAATGGTACCATGTACTTCATAGGCCCAAAATATGTGTTAACGATGGAAATACTATTATCTTTTATGGCAAAAGACACCTCCATGGAGAAGAAATCGCTTTTTTTAATGCTCACGAAGCCTATAGGGGCGGTTCCTTGAGAAGTTCTAGCACTCGTCAAGGATGACTCGCAATGATGGGGAATCATTTGCCTTCACTCTTCTCTTGTGGAAAATATGTTCCTTCGGGGAAACGCCAGATGGCAAGGTCGCATCTTTTATCATTTCAAAGCCCTTTTTTCATTTATATATCTAGACCCTATGCATCGATTACATGGAGCCCATGGACAATTGAAATATCCTAGTCAATATCAATTCAGGAAGCAGGAATTCAGGAATCCATGACGTAGGAAGCCGTAGTAGGGAAATGCTATCTCTCATCGACAAATTGAGTTTATCATGAAAATAAAGAAAAACAATTATAAAGTTTTGTCTCATCAGAATGGCAATTTCTCGAATGTTTAGAATCAGTGTAAACAATATAAACGCTCTAAATTGATCAGTTTGGATGACAGACCGCTAAGAGACGAAGACGCATACGACGAAGAGGAATTTTCTTTGGCATTCAATTTTTGTTTCGCAGGTGTTATATATCAAACCTTTGTTCGGTAAGCCTCCGACCTACCTCTTTCCGGCATGAACAAGCGATTTTCTGAAGCACTAATACTTTGTGGCACTTCTCTGTCTTGGAAAGTTCAATATTTTTAATTGCACCATAATAGCATAATCTATTTATCTATACATATAATACTAGCGAGTTTGTTTGCCCTTCGGGCAAACAAACTCGCTATTGTCGCGCCTTCGGCGCTCTATTATCTTGGATATAGATTAATTCATTCATTTTTTTCCGAAATGGGAAACACGTATTTAAAGCACGTCCCCAATGAAATACGTGACATATGGAGTCGAAAGTCTTGATTTTTATCTAAATCATTACCTCTGTGATTCTGTGTGCCAAACTTGAAACCTTTTCTTGCGTCCCTTTTTGTAAGAATGGAGAATACATTTTGAAATACTTCCCTCCAATAATCTCCGCTAATGAGGCATATTTCAAAATTAGTGTTTTTCCTCTACCCAGCCATTAAACAGGTACTTCTGAGGGAAGCTTAAATTTTCTGTCTCTGTTTCGTTGGATCAACAAAAAATCAGAAAATGGGACTGAGAAAAGTGCCCTAATGGGTTTTAACGAAATTTTTTTTCTTTTGAAATGTAGACTCCGGAAACTCCATGCCACACAGTTTCAATCTTACACGTTTCCCCTTTTCGCTGGCGGAAAAAAAAATGTATTTGGAGAATGGACCCACCCAAAAGCTGTGCTCTGAGGAGATGTATAGAAAAAGATTAAGTTTTCCTTAAATCAGCATCACGTCAGTGATGGGTGCACCAGCTACTTTTCTATGTCTGCCCGGTGAACTACATGCCCACAAAGTTTCAAGTTTCACCTTTCCATTTCTGTCCAATTCGCCACAACAATTTTTTTTTTCAAAACATCCCCCCATTCAAAAAATTCCCCCAGGGGATGTATCGAGACTTAACATTTTCATGCAACTCTTTGTCTCAGCAATCACATTCATGCAAAGTTTTAGTTTTCCATGTTCATCAGTTTAAATGATGCCAAAAAATTAGTTGAAAAAATCTCCCTTTGAAATTTGTGCCCCAAGGGCATTTATGTTTAAAGTCTAATTTTTTCTGCATCATCCCAATAGGTAGTTATCTACCAAGTTTCATCTTTCCACTCCACTTAATATGCCAGAACAAAAAAGTACTTCAAAACGTCGGCTCACAAATATGCCCCAGGGCATGGATCTAAAAATTTTCATTTTTCCTGAACTTATCGTCTCATTAGGCACCTCCATGCCAAGTTTCAGCTTTCCATGACTCTCCGTTTTACTCAACCAAAAAAATTGTTATGGTGGGGAAATGAGTAATGGGACATGGAAGGCAATGAAAGCCTAAAGGAAGCCAAAGAATGACCAGGAATTGAACCGGGACCTTCTGCTTGGTAGTCAGAGATGCTACTACTACACCACCGAACCCTACCCATCGAATGGACTTTCTGAATGCCATCTTCATCTGTCACAAAATATATTGAAGAAAAACGTTTCCCCCCAAAATGTGTACCCCCAGGGCATGTACCTCCAAAGTCGGATTTTTTCCGAACTCTGCATCCTAAAAGGTACATGTGTACCAAGTTTCAGATTTCTAACCCTTCTAGAACATGGTTAGAATTAGCGTCAGTCAGTCAGTCAGTCAGTCACGATCGTCTATATATATTAGATGCTTGGGCCTCCGTGTGTATGTCCGCAAGTGCATGTGCGCATGTGCGGCGCCTTCATGCCTGCCTCCGGGCGTACGTCTCCCTCTCTTCGGCTGGCACTTTTTTCTTCCGGCCGTTGCGACAGTCGGATCTATTTTCGATAACGTAACAGCCCCGGGGGGAGGGGGGCTGTGGGGGAAGAGTTCAGATGGCATAAGAGGAGGAAAATAACGATGGAACGATCGGGAATCGAAACGAGGATCTACTGCTTGCCGGTCAAGCATGCTTCCATTACACTACCGAACCAAAGCAGTTAAATTACATCACTCCATGCCATCCCTAACACTACCACGGAAGAGAAAGGGATTCTATGCATGCCCCCCCCGCCCCCCCCCCCCCCACCTGGTGTTCACACCTCCGATGAGAAATTTTTCGCAGGGACGTGTACAAGTCCCCGCGTATCAAACTTGGGGTCCCCTTTCACACCTTGAGGAAGGATTACTTTCTCGCCGGAGATGAGATCTCCGCCCATATATTTCTCGGGATCTGGAAAAGTCGTATCGTAGGCACGAACACCCTGTGGGTAGGGATGGGAAGTAGAAGAAGGGGCGAGTGCATGTCCGCAGGCATGTGCGCATGCGCGGCGCCTTCTGCCCAGCTCCGAGTGTCTGTCTCGCTCTCTCTAGCTCGCACGTTCCCTCCGGCCATTGCGGCTGTCGGATTTATTCTCGAGAAAGTAGTAGCCTGGGGGGGGGGGGGGGAGATTTCAGTTGGCATGACGAAACACGAACAATATTGCTTCTTGGATTCGATCCCAGGGCCTCGTACTTGGTGGACACGGACTTTTTCTCAACACCACCAAACCAAATGCATTCGTTTTCTTCTTTCCACGTGATCCATAAAATTACAAAAGGAGCGATGCATTCTACGCACACTCCCCGCTCCCGATACAGACCTGAGGATCCTATACGGACTTCCCTTAATACACTTTCATCCCCCATGGAAGGATGACTTCCTCGCCGGGATGAGATCTCACCATCACATATTTAATAATCTGATCCTAGATTTATCGGGATCTCGACCGTTTTATGAAACAGTACCCCGTCTCTTTATTCACCGGCATTCTCACAAGGAGAGTGATTGACGAGGGTGAAAACGGCAGGATCCCACCTGTATGGAACTGGAACCTTTGGATCAGAAAGACACCGTCGGCCGCGTAGTAAGCATCCCGTTTCTCTAGCGTATATTTCACAGTCCATCATTGGAGATGGACTTCACCGACGACACGAACATCATCGATATCGATACGGAAAAAGAGTGCCGCTCGATGAAAGTCCGTATCGTAGGCGTGAACACCCCAGTGAATGAGAGGGAGGGGGATGCGCAAGACGTACAATGTCAGGGGCTACTGGGCAGAGCGTTAATGAAGCCGCTGACTGAACTCGTGAATATCGGAATATACCACACACTTAGCCTCTAACTCTCGAGAACGGGATGGAGGTGGTGCTGCTTTGCATCGTCGAGAAGGCCGCTGAGTTTAAGGGCTGCTGATTGAGCTCGGGAATTCCCGAGAAACAGTTCTCGGAAGACATCCGCAGATTGGGGAATCCCCGTCTCACACTCCCGTCTCACAAGCCCGTCTCACACTCGTACTTTCTCTCCGGCCTTCGCAACAGTCGGATCCGTTCTTGAGAATAGGAGAGATAGTCATTGTACGACTTGTGCCCCCTCCCCCCCCCCCCCCCCCTCATAACTAAAGATGTTCACACCTCGATGTGAGTCTTCATGCAGGAAATGCACAATACTTCGAGTCCCGTTTTCCTCTGTGCAAAGGAGAGTAACTCCAGGGGGTGAAAGGGGCGGGATCCCATAAGGGTGGGAGAGAACAGGATGGCTAATTCTTGGATCGCAAGGATGCCGCCGGTCGGGTCGTTACCATCCTGTATCCATATCCAAATATTTCACTCATAGGCTTGCACGCAAAGTGATGGAGATGGTCTTTATGGAAGAAGTAGACAGGGTTGCTATCAATAGGGAAAAGTGCCGATGAATGTAAGGGTGAAGATCTCACCCTATTGGTCCTATAGGTTCTAAAGGGAGACCTTTAGGCCCTATAGGGTTCCATATAGGCTCTATAGGAACCTATAGGATTCCTATATATTTCTTTATGAATATATAGGTATCCTAAAAGGCATTTTCGTAAGGGGTAGCATAGATTTTCATCCAAGGTTGTGATTGAATAGGTGGAACAACGTGAGAAAGATATCGCAGTGAAACCAAGCAGTTATGTCAAGTTCTCCAACAGGTAGGCGGAACAGCGCCCGAGGTATTTTTAATGAAGCCAAGAATCATGTTACATTTAGCCACCGTCGCTTGTTGGTGTGAGGAGAACTTGACTTCTTCATCAATACTCATCCCTAATTTTCTCCCCGTTTGCTTCTAGTTCATCTACGTCGAACTCATCAGAAAACCTATCGTTAATATGATGAGCGATGTGACGAACCTTGCTCTTACTTTTGTCGAATCTCACTAGCCATTTCTTTTTCCACTAGGCCTTATTCTACTGTACATCGTTAATGTAGATCAAAATAAGAAGCGGTCCGAGGATCAAGCCCTGAGCGGCAAGGCATGCAAACCTGACTTCCGTCGACGCTCTCTAGTTAACCTTTATTTATTGCACTCTTCCTGACAACCGGTTACTAATACTGATACTCGTCCTACCCTGGATCCCAAGCCCCACCAAATTAACCCACTACCTCTATAAGAGTAGTGGGCTAATTTGGGAATATAGGGGTCCCTTATAGGGACGGTATCGAGAGCGTTAGCGAAATTGAGGTAGATACTGTTCACGGTATCTTCTTATTCTCCCTGTCCCGTCACCCAATCGTAAAACTCGAGCAAATTGTTAAGACAGCTTACGTCGCTTCATAAAGCACTTGCTAAGATTCCCAGATGAGCAATTTTCCCTTTGGTGATTCTATCATGGAATCTAATATCAAAGAATGTAATTTCTAAGAAGCGTTTTTCGCTTACCCTTCTGTCTCCCATCTTCAATTGACGTTGCTTTTTCAATATATTTGAGGTCTTGCCATCAGTGGAAGCATGACATCCCAATTAATAATTATGATGGTACCAGGGAATTCACACTTCAGGCAAACAGAACTCGCCATGTTGCACCTTCGCCTGAGGTTGCGCTCGACGATCCATGAAAGTGATTACTTCGCTTGAAACATCCGTTTTTGGCCATTCCACCAATCAATGTCGCAAAATTCCTTAGGTTATTGGTATTTCTCCTTGTGGAGTAATGTTACATTAGGTTGTGTTACGTCATCGCCAGCCAGATGTTAGCAGCATAAATGAAACGGAGATTATATAGTCCCACTTTATAAATCCCTCGGAATTCCTCTTTCATCCAGTAAAATACAAGAATGAGAGTCCATTTCCTTATAGGGAAGCTGTAAAGATTAGCCAACCCCTACCAAATAAATGGACATCGGAGGTGCCTTCCCCAATCGTAAGATTTTCCCTGAACTCAACATTTCGTAAGTTTCACAAACCAAAGTTCACATTTCCACATTTGCCCGTTTCACATTAGGTAAAAGACATATAAACATGTTTATAATTAGCGTCATTCAGTCATTTGGTCACCATCGTCTATTATTGCATTAGAAAAAAATGCCAACCAATCGAATTTGAGGCTGTCGAGACCAGCACTTACATTTTAAAGAGGAGTTAAAACTACGTCTTCATCCCTTGGAATGCCATGAGTTATGGAGTTGCCAATATCCTTGCTTCTGGAAAGGGGTTAGCTATTTCACTCAATCGCAATGAAAATGCTGCACTTTAAAAGTTCTCGCGGATGAGTTGAAGCTGGTATATTAGGAAAAATCGGAAAATTGAGACTTTCAGTAGCCCTCTATCACTGGAAGATACCTGCATTCCATCCCCATTTTAGCCCATATGAACTGTTAGGATTTTCTTGAAACTGTAGTATTTTCAATGTGGAAAGTCCATACTATAACTTTCCCGTTATTAGTCCTATTAAGAAAGTACACTACAACAGACTGGGCTTCTTAGCATTGGGTTTTTAATAGCAGAAGTAATGAAATTATAGAAAAGTCAATCGTTTCTTTAGCAAACTTGAATTTATTATTTCATATTTTCGTCGAATTCCTCCAAAGCCTTCTGAACACGACCTTTATTGTCTCAATCATACTCTTTGGCGCTTCGATTTCTCTGTCTGCATCAGTACAAATGCTTTCGAAATCGATCTCTTCTCTCTGCAAGAGAGACGTTACGTCGGGCGGCTCCACTTGGGCATCTGAATCATTCTCCCCCAGGATATCCATCCAAACTTTGTTCACCTGCTTCACCTGCTCTAGCTGCTCGATTCGCTTTGCGAACCCCACCTCATGGTTCTTTTTCTCAGCATCAATGAGAAAGTCTATGTATTCCTCTAATGGTAGGGGGTTCGGGTTCAGGGCGATTTCTTTGAGCCGCTGCGCAGTCGAATGTGCTTGCTGGACCCGAGCGAGCAGTTCCACCTGGATCTTTAGAATTTCAATAGTTAGCTGCCGGAGTTTCTGCTCCCGAGGTAGCTGAATATTTTTCTTGGTGGGCTTTACTGGATTCTCATGATTCCTGTACTTAGCGACATTGAAGACGTATCTCTTTCGTTCCAATTGATGACTCTTCCAGGAGCATCCGCATTTTCTACATGTAAATTTCATGTCAGGATCCATGCATGTGCTTTCCTTGATGTCCTTCGGCTTTGATACTGTGGCTGGATATTCGCAGGTTGTCTGTCTGCATAGGGAACAGTTGATCGCTACTTCCACCTCCAACGGAATTTTAATAGTCTCTTTAACCAAATCCAGAATTTGAGAAACATCCGATTTCTTCATTTTGAGCTGTTTACATTCGTCTTGAAGATTTGAAATCTTTGACGACACTACGTAAAAAGGGGAAAGAATAACAGGAAGGGACTGATGGAAATGGATACCTGAAACACTTAGCTGTGATACTAGTTTCACTCACCTTCTCTGATATCGGCCTCCAATCGCTTTAGGTTCTCCACCAAGCCTTCTCTTCGTGTGAGCACTTCCTTTGTAAGAGCCAGGCTCACGGGTGCCGTGTTGCTCAGATGTTCTAAAAACATGTTGTTGCTATTGATTCCTATTTCCCAGAACTTCTTTTGCAATGCGTCATTGTTGCCCGCAAAAAGGGCAGAGTTGTTGAAAGTGTAATGATTGCAGTAGAAGAATTGAGCACTTTTCAATGTTTGAATAGCCAGTGGCTCTCCTCCATCACAGAAGCTTAGCAACATCATGAATTTCTCCTTGGTGTCAATTCCGAACAGTTGAGTGACGGAGTGAAATATATACTTCTCTGTTGCAGTGAGCCTGCTTGAGGATGATGGCAGCACAAACCCAACGCCATGTATATGGACAATACCGTATTGCGCTGAGAGCTCGAAAAACTCCCGCATCTGTACGTAACACAATAGCAAGATGGTTTGGAAAATGTATAAAAATGACGGCGCCGCCCAAACGTATTAATCTTTTTTTTTATTGTTGCAGTCTGTGGAGGAAGCATCGGGTCGATGAGAGAGTATAAAACAATGGCAACTTCAACGTTTTTCGTTAGTGCAAGGCCTCGACTTTTCCAGATTTTCTTTATTTTTAAATATATATATTTTCTTGCTAAGCGATACATTAATGACTACTGCTAACGTAGCCAGATTAATGATTAAATCGTTATAAAAAGTGCCAATATCAAGTATCACACAATGTTGAAGGCGTTCACTCTATATATACCCGGTATATATTATATATATGGGTACCCTCTTTGCATAAGAGAAGTGAGCGGTCTTAACAAACAAAACCTACCCTTTGATGAAATTAAATTTTCCTTCATCGAACAGAACTGAATGTCCTCGTTCATATCCTACAGTGACGAGACATAAAATTCGGTGCAAGAGCATGGCGTATCTCAAGTAACACAAGATATTCCAGCAACGTTTAGGAAATGTTGAGGAACAATGCTGCTTCTGTGTGTAAATGTCAAAGACATCAACGTTGCTTGAATTTTGCAAAAAAAACATTGCATTGATGTTGTAAATCGTAACTTATTCATTGCATATCCGTTGTAGAAATATTTCATGACTTACGTATGTTGCTGCGATGTTGCTGAAAAGCGTTGCCTCACTGGCACCTAATCTGGACTAATATTGACATTACTACCCGGTAAAGCATAGGCTTCATTGGCCCTGAACTGTACCGATATTCTCCAAATATATTGGGTTGGACAGAAAGTCTTGCAACACTTTCTGACGAAGCCCTGCGGAACGCCCTCAACGCGAAGCCGAACGCCACCACTCGCGAATTCGCGACTACACTTGGAGTCACCCATATGACCATCGGCAACCATCTGAACGACCTCGGCTATCAGAAAGTATACTCGACATGGGTCCCTCATCGGCTCAGCGACTCTGACAAAGCAAGCCCTGTCAGTGTCTGCGAATCACTGCTCCTTCGTCCGCACAGAAAGGACCTTCTGAAGGAAATCGTTACTGGATATGAGAGCTGGGTCCTCGACGTCAACCATACTCGCAAGAGTCAGTGGCTTCCACGAGGAGAATTGCCGCCACACGAACTGTAACCAGGGTTCCACGAGAAGAAGGTTCTTCTCTGCTGANGAAACACCATTATGCAATTTATATCCACGTGTTGCGAAGATGACTCGCCAGACGATTTCGGAACTGGGTTGGGAAGTTTTACCCCTTCCAGCGTACTCTCCGGACTTGGCCCCTTCCGAATATCACTCGTTCCGGGCCCTCAAGAATACCTGCGGGACAAGGCCTTCGACGATCGAGCACAGCTCGAAAATGATGTCGACCGTTTCTTCGCTTCGCAATCATCAGAGTTCTGGGCAAAGGGCATCGAGCAGTTACCCGTGCGTTGGGAACATGTCATAGACAACAATGATCATTACATTGTGGACTGAAATTGCATTTCAATAAAGTTATAACATTTTGAAAATTTGCGCAGAGTGTTGCAAATCTTTCCTTCCAATCCAATATAATAATTTCATTCATCATTTCGTATCATATCGTCAGCTTTACCAAGACATTCCCATCAACAGGAGGGAGCCTGTACAGTTATATAACACCCGCCCATGCATAGTACAGTATCTGTATCATGCATTGGCAGGAGACATAGTACATTTTGGGAAGTGATCTATCCCTGAATGTGCTAGATATAACACATTTCAGGGAAAGGTCCATTCGCAATGCTCTATGGAGGGTTCGTGTATTCAGCCCTTCTTTTCCTTCACCCTGTCTTCAGGATGAGGAAGTAACGGACTGAGTTCACACCTTTGTTTTTCATCTTCTGTGTGATGCAGTCGCCGGGTTTTGCAAAGGGTTCTTCTTAGGAATATGAGCTAGTTATTGACCTGGGCTCCATGAATCTGTCTCGAAGATGAGGGTAAAAAATGATTAAGTACTGTGTTCCATGATTCCCATAATGAGGGTTGGCAAGTCATATGGCAAGGTACTAAAGTTTCCTGTGAGGGACGATTCCAGGGAAATGGGGAAGGGCACTGTTGGGTACCGTTCGAAAAGCGAGACTTACGTCTCCATCAAGTGGCCTGGAGGACAACTCATCTATTCCCTAATACTTTCAAGTCCATGTTGTTTCAAAATGTTGTCGCTACGTTGTCAATGTCAAGAGTGTCAACGTTCTCTTAATATTGACAGCAAATGTTGCAATAACATTCGTAGAAGTGTCACAGCAACATTCCTATTGCTCGGAAATGAAGAACGTTGAAGCCATGTTTTATCAATGTTGTTCATCAACTTGCAACATAAGCAATATTTCGGAAACATTTAATCAACATGCTGTGTTTCTTGGGATAGTGTTTGTGCCTTTGGTAATGGAACGTACTTATTCATGTTTTTCAACATTAATTGAAGGTTAGGGGCTATAAATTAATTGCATATGATAGTGGAAGGAAATGAGTATTGCCTATGCATGAACGAGAAGTGCTCACATGCTCTGTGATTACTACGGGTGGAATGGATTTCGTAAAACGAGGATATAAATTGCATCATGGTGTTTCTGATCAGAATGGAATCAGGAGAAAGGACAATCGGAAGTCAACAGAAAGAAGCCCTGGAAGGTTGTACCATTCCAATTGTTTTCATTTTGGAAATTGGAAGCTATATCCAATGCCGCTTCATTTCTGGAGTATGAGTAGGCCGTTAGAGCAGGAGTTCTCAAACTGCGTCGCGACCCCCAGACGGGTCGCCAAAGGATCGCATGGTGGTCGTGAAGGGGTCACGTGAGCATTCGTGTTATTGTAAGTTGTGCACGCTAATACTTGTTAATTGGTACAGAAATCACAACGATATTATGGCGAAAGTAATTACTCTGGTTTCTTTTTAACTTCAGAATGATACTTGCATAATGAAATAGCCTTTCACACCACAAACTGGTTTGACGGTGAAGTACCTGTTGATCTAAGAAGACAAATTACAGAAGCCCTCCACTCTTTTAACTCCATCAATGATATTGCAGAAATAGGAAGTGTAAAAAATGTAGCTAAGAAATCCAACATTAAATTAGCTATGGTCTCCCATCATTTTGGACATAATTATTTTCATCTCAATGCGCTGGTTATAATTATCGGTAGGAGGGAAACTAATACAAAGCCAATGTCGATCACCACTGCATCCGAGGATGAGGATCATAATACTTTGTTCCCTAACTCACTAATTCGTTCGATCATTTCCATGTTCCATTCCACAATAAAAATACAAACTGAGATGTATGATTTAAAAAAATACACTTCATATTATGCAAAATCTCATTCGCTCCTCATCCGTTCACGTTCTTCCTACAACCCCCGCAGAGTGCTCCACTGAAAAGTCAGGCTTACCTTAAAAACATGTTCCATGTCATTATGAATCCCTTCGGAGTCCCCAAATCCAGGAGTATCAATAACGACGAGAGTGTATGGGAATATCATGCCATCCTGCCAGTTGAAAGAATAGGCGGTCACTTCTTTGGTCTGGCTGTTGGCCCTGTCGTCCACATTCAGATCTCCCTTTTCCGTGCTGATCCTGAACCGAAATCCGTCTTCCCACCGAACGCCATAGACGTAGTTGGCAAGCCCATTGATCATAGTTGTCTTCCCTGGAATGGTATTTAAAATCAATATTACTGACTTGTTTCCCCTGTCCGATACCAATCGATCTGCGCACGATTCCATCGCGAGTTTTGCTGAATTTTTCAAGGAAAATATACCTTTCAAATCTCTCCCATTCCCTACGGACGCCATGGCCTCATGGGCAGCGAGCGTAAGCATGCTGGCAAAAGGGTTTTTGTTTCTTTAAGCCTTTGCACCCTACACTTCCTTCATCAACGAATTTGCTCCGAAAATGTTAGGGGTGGGGCTGGCTCATCTTAAAAAAGTCGCAATGTTATGACATAATAATGTCCAACAACTGTAAATAAAGGAAATTGGATTTCTAGCTCACTAATGCTAATATTAATCAAAAGTAAAATATGCTGATTGAGGCAACATCGCATTCCGTATCAAGAGTAAACTCAATCCTTTTCATGAGAGCAGTAACGATATGCACAGTACCGAAAAATTCACACTTTTAATGTATAAGCGTTAAATCCGTAAATGGTATCGATGTTATTCCATTGCCTTCTTCCATCTGCCTCAATAAGGTAGTAGGTCCCCTGGAGGTGCTGCTCGGTTCCTCACCCTGTTGAACATACCTTTGGAACGTCCAGTTTTTAGTAAGAGATTTTCTTTTTTTGAATTATTTGCACAAAAATTAATTCTGCAAATATTGATCGATGATCTTGGCATTCTTGACTAGTCCACGGTTCTAAAACGTATAATTGCAAAGCCATAAGCAACCATAATTACAGGCGAAAACCGTTCAATGCATTCCAAGAAGCACCACTGCAATTATTTGTTGACAACATGGTCGTGACTACGTACGTACGTACGTAAGTCTAATTTCGTTCAATTCACTCAGAGTAATCCATGCTTGGTCTATTGCGGCGACATGCCTGACTCCGGCACTCAAATAGCTTTCTGATGTTTGTTTTTTCTCGCTGCTACATTACGAGCCTGCAGTTCTTGTAAGCGCGGATTGTTTGTCTTTTTTCGGGCGGAGATCACTCGTCGGATTTTCTTTCTGGACAATTCAGCGACACAGGCTACTAGTATCAGAAGTTTTATCTGGATGAACTTGGATGTGACGTAGGGGCCTTTTCTTTCCCTTCTTCCTTCTCGAGCGACTACAATTTGGTGAATTATGATTTGATCTTAGAGACCACAGAGCATGTGTCCTTTGCATCTGTTTATGATCAGAGTATATGAGTAACTTTCCCTGGAAGGAGCATTGATATATTGATTGCAACAAACATCGCTTGCTATTTTGCTGTCCATTCCCTAATTACAAGCCACCTCGTTTTCATAGTGGTAACATAATCCCACACTAACGGATAGATAATTTGGTAAGAAAACCCTAACCCAGGAAAGCTTCTGGAGCCGGTTCAAATTATCATATTTGTCATGACGGCAGCACAGGAATATTCACAACTGCTCTATTTATAATTTAGAAAAATAAAAGGGGGGAATTCCACGTTTCAGGGACGTAAAGCCTCCTTTTCAACTTTTCAGGGAAAAAATAAAAATGCCAAGAATATAGGAGGAATAATAGGTGCTAGCAAATAGGAAAAAAAAAACAGTTGTAACAAGTTCGCTGAAAAGTTTGGAAATCACCGCTTGAATCAAGTTTTGGAAGCAGCTGGATGGGACTGGCTCTCTGGTTTTCTTTGACGAAACCCTAACCTTGCTGTATGGAAGGACGAACCATTGTCTCTAGGACGGGAATGTGGTACGAATGGGGAAGAAGTGAAGAAATACTTCGACAAGCCGCTCAAGAAACTTAAGGATCTTGGAATCAGGATAGAACTGCATCGAATCTTCAATGAAAGTGGTTTGCAAATGAACACACAACCTCATAAAGTGACTGCAAGAAAAGGTTTCAACACGGTGCATTCTGTCGTTCCAAAGGAAAAGGGGAAACTTGCATAATTATTGCTTGTTGCAGTGCAGCGGGTACCTGCCTCAATTTGGTATTTTCAAAGGAAAGCGACACAGGCGAGAGCTAGGTGAACGCCTGCCTCTAGGTTCCATGCTAAAGTTCAGTGAGAGCCGCTACTTATCACAGCTCTGTTTCTTGAGTTTCTGGTGTTCCTTGTTGTTGCAGTTCACTGAACAGCTGAAATGCCAGTCCTTCTAATTGTAGATGACCATGACAGTTGCCCATGCAACTGATCCCTACCTCCTGTAGTGCGTCAAGGATCACCGAATCCATTTGCTATGTCTACCTCCACATACACACCATTGGCTACAGGCAACTGATCGATATATTTTCATGCCTCTTAAGAATTACTTATGCAAAGTAGCTCCTTCCTGTGTGAAAAACCAAAGAGGAAAAGCATTTTCTTATCTGGAATTCTAAGGTCTTCTCGGGGACGCATGGCCAGAGCTTGTGGCATCTATCCAATCAACCCATTTGCGATTCCCTATCACGCTTTTCCCAGGGAACTCCTGGTCCGAATGAAGAAAATGTGGAAGGGACAGGGGTAACCCTCATCCGGGACCATCGGAAATTGGGACATTTTCTCTTGCCAAATGTAGCGACTTCTCACGCAAGTATTCCTCCAGATGTCGAAACTTGTCAAAATCATATGGTGCAACGTCAGGAGAATAAGGTCGGTGCTGCAATTTTTCGAAGCCAGCATCATGGCGACCACTAAAGCATTGGCCGTGTGAGCTCATTGAAAATCGCCGTGCAAAATAAGAACCGATTTCTTTAACATCCCTCAATGTTTCTTATCCTTGTATCTACGGAATCTCCCCAGTAATGCAGCATACAGGGTGGGCCATGAATATTCACATAAAATCAAAGCCTTGCCCCCCCCCCCCCAAATGATTTATTTCAGAATCATCTGCTTCTCAATTAGATAATAAAAAAGATCAATTGTAACTATTCGCAATATATTTTCGATATGTCCAACTTCTTCTTGATGGTCAATCACGATGTTCGAGTCTGATGGTCGATTAAATTGGACGGACATGGTTCCACTTCTCTTGCAGCACCAGCCTCAATTAATTCAGATCGTTTGGTTTCGTTTTAGGACACTTACTTCCAGCAGGTTCCACATACAGTATTCTATCGAGTTGCAGTCACAGCTGCAAGGGTACCGATAATGTTTTAAAATAATATGTGTTGCAGGATTTGCCATACAAGTTTTTGTGCATCAATATTTGTGACTTGGAGAATGAGTCCTATCGAAGCAAACTAGACAGGCAACCGAAGAGCCACTGACAATTGGAACAAACCTGTTTTTCCTATCCTTTCCCTAGTCATGCAGAAATGGAAAATGTAAATGTGATATATTAATATTTATAGACCACCCTGCAGTACTGGCTCGCAATATCGTGCTAGGGGGCATATAGTTAATGTCAATGACCTTCGAAGTATCCCAGATAATCGTCCACATTACTTTCCCAACTAAAATCCGAGCCAGAAACTTTCTGGGGAGCAATGAGTCCTTGTGCGCCCATTACATTGGCTGTGGCATTAATCCTGTATCCCAGTGGTTAAGCCAAATTTCCTCCCTAGGGACTCCCGGGGAACAAATGTCAGCTCAGCTGAACCTGAATACATTTTGCCTGCTAAACATAACCTTGTCATCATGTTGAACGACCGACAACATTCTGGGTATCCAGCGGGCAAAGATATTTACTAATTCCAGCTAATCGTGCCAGATGGTTTGAACACAGCCTGTTGAGAAGCGTCAGACCAGTACAATTTCCATCATTTTCATTCGTCTATCCTAAACGACCAGCTTTTTTTTACGACAATGCAATTTCCTGTTATCTTTGCCTCGGAAGGTCGATCTGGGCGAGGACCTTCTTCCAAATCACGTCATCATAGTAATTTCGGCGTCCACATCGTTACCGTATTGTAGGAATGTGAATGATCTCAATAAACGTTTAGCAGGTGCTGAAGAAATGCCTTTGGCGACAAGTCTTCCTTTGTAGTATCTGACTACGAGTGTGAACTTTTATATTCAAGTCATTACACTGTTATATAGTGTAATAATGAGCACGTAGTCTTATCGATGTTCGAAGATTAAAGCGTCTCCTTGTAGCGCAAAGACTGTGATTTAATCGTTTCTCATATCGTTCAAAAATCAATGGTCCAATGCTGGTAGCTCAAGAGCCTATTGAGCACTACTTGTATATTGCAATTCTATTTCTCAGATATACATTTCGAACACCTTCGAATACATGCTTCAAACGGGAAATAATTCGGATTTCATGTAAGAGAGAAATTGCGAAGTCATATATAACGTTAGGAATAGAAAGGGTTATAGTAGTGTAAATTCATATTTGGCGTTGAAAATGTGACTCCTTTCAAGAAGCAGTCTTTCCCGAAAATGGGGACAAATCTCCTATATCAGGCTATTGAAGTAACAGCCTCCGAATGAACACACAAGGTAGAAGAAAGAAGAATTAAAGTTATCATCAATGCGAGTCTGGTAAACAGTGGGCTTAGAAATACAGATCACTGCTCTAGAGCTGAATATCTAAAATTTTCAAATAAATTTAAAAGATCAGAACACTTAAAGTATTGGATGCATAATGTGTTGAGCCAGAGTATGGACGAGGACAAAAAGGTTGTTGGTTCTCATGAGACGTAAGCGACAGCCAGGGCCCTGCTTGTCCAGGCTACATCATAAACTGCTGACGACCATTCTCATGATGTAGTTCCGGTAACTTCGGAAGCTCGTAGATATCTGGTTTTCCATCTCGCCCTTTTTGGCAAAGTTTAGCCATCTTCTTCATTTCTTCAGCCAATGTGGTTTTGCCGCTTTTACGTTCAACATTGGAGCGTTTGAATGCCTTCCTTTGACGCCCTTTTGATGCCGAGTTCTTCAGGATTTTTGAAGGCATGACATTTGAACAACTTCTTTCTCCGTTTTCAGACTCTTCCTTATCATGTGAAAACGCCTCCTGCTGTGTTCATAGAAGCAGTGATTACTGGAGCTTCTAAGATCCTTTCTTAAAATCGTGTCCTTTTTTAATCAGTGCTGCGCATGAATTTCCCATCAGTAGCAGACACCAACAGGCAACAGATGAGGAAGATATGCCAGCGAAATTAGTAGAGTGAACTTTTCGAAACAGCGTTCGTGGAGAGAAAGAGATAATATATTTAAAGGGGTAAATACTTAGGAAAAACTCCTAACGAGGAGAGAGACGAGCATCATCCTCATGAGGCACAGTCCCGCTCAAACCTATATTATTAGTATTTTTGAGCCTTTATCTCGCCTTGGATTTTTTTGCCCAAGGTGATGAGAATGCCTTATATATAGCCCGTAGTGGTTCGCTAAACGCACGTCACTTTTTATCAATTATAACATCCTTGAGAAGACACCATTGATATTTCATTGGTAATTAGATGTACGATAATTTAAGACATTGAGACTTAAAAGTAGGGTGAACAGGTGCACCATAAAGAAAGGGATGGGGAACTAGCAAAACCCAAAAAAATAGGTGCAGCAGATTTTAATCATGTGCCTTTCACTCTGAATATTGCAACTCTGAATTCTAATAATTCGCATGTGGATCGAACCAATCCAAGATCTTATTTGTGCATGCGGATGCCACCCGATTTACCCAATTTACCGGTGGTGCGAGAACTAATGCTTCCCTTCTGCCAGTGCAAACATGAAAATCAATTGTTCATAACACAAGAAACTTAGTATGTCTGTCTTTCACAAGTATGCAACGGTAAACATTGCTGGCAACAAAATAGGGCAACTAATAATTGAAATTTAGAAATTTTAGCTCATGAAATGATGCATTATGACTTAGAAAAGAATATCATGCATCCATAAAATTCAGGCAAAGTATTTTATAGTAAAGACAACGAAATGGTATTGGATTTAACGTTCGATCTTTATAGATAAATGTACCCAATGGTTAAGTAAGCGCGAAAAAAATTAGACTAATAATCGAAATATATTCCAAAATCAATCAAATGACTACTATTTTGGTGTAATTCCCAGCCTAAGATGAACTTCCCCTGTGTTCGTTGCATCGTAAATAATGATAACATGAAGAGTGGAGATAAACTCGTGACGTCTTAACCCAAACTATCGACTTCGATAATATTTCATGGGATTCCCTTTCTCTGGTCTACGTTCCTAGAAACCCGTTATCATAAGCATAAACATAAGCAATTTTACTGAATGTCGCGGCTATTGTGATTTAACATGTTCCACCTGCGTTACTTTTCTGGGGAAAACGCGATTCAACCCGCCTCTGAACGAGCATACTATACTTCTTTACGTTCCCATTGAGCATTGGCATTACTGCATTATTAATTTCATCAGAATATTTTTAATAATACCCCTTGAAGGATTTCTACTTTTCATTGTTCTATACACGAGGGGCTACACCTTTTAAGGTAGCAGACCTACTTTAAGGCAACTTTTTCCATCTCTATTCCTTCCCAGAAGCTAAACTGGCTATATAAAATAGAATTTTAGAAATATTGCGTTCATGGAGATAATTTACATAATTTTTGCTAATGAGGTACAATATGGCCGCAAAAGTGCAAAAAATGAACTTTTTCCAAACAATATTTCTCATAGATGGCTCAAAAACTAATGGAATCGACAAATTTTGTAGTTGGAATCCTAAAAAATGTCCTAAGCTTTCAAGAAATTGGTGATTTTTTCACAAATGAATATTTTCGATTTTTAGCAATTTTTGTTACCTAATTATTGATACATATTCAATGATACTAAAAAGTGCTAACGGATTGGGTAAACTAAGAAGCTACCATCATTCTTTGGAGGAACATTCAATGTAGCTCCCAGCCAAAAATGACAGATATAATACTAGTAGTAGGTGTATTACACGAAAAGGTGCATTACACATTACTATACATTCGTATATTACGCGAATATATGTGTATTACACATCTTGCTCTTGACACATGAATCAATACTTTCAGTAATACACATAGTTCAAATGCTGTCTAGTTTAGTTTATACAATATGCCTCAGAGTCAACCCCAGTAGTACAATAGACTAAGAAAATGTCAAGCAATACGAAGGAATTCCTTCAAATCATGAGAATTTCGCCCATCAATCCGAATTAGTTGGCATGTGTACAACACGAAAGAGTGGCGTATGTGGGACCTGGCATTGCAATTATTGTTTAAAATGTGAGCACTCAAAGTTAACATAAGTCAAGGTAACTAAAATATAAAAAAATATTTTAAAGTGGTTGTTAGCTTGAAAAGATACATTGAAAAATCTAAGGGATGAGGTAACACTCCATATTTGCACCAAAATCTCCTTCTTTCGAGAATAAGGGTGGATTTTTGAACAGAGAACTATCCGATAATGCAGCTTTATTTCTGAGAAAATGCACTATAAATCCGGTAAATAAAGCAGCATTATCGGATAGTACTCTGTTCAAAAATCCACCCTAAGATTCTCAGCGTTTCCTGAGAAGTTACATGCCTTTTGTATTACTTGGAGCTGCAAAGTCGCTGTTTCGACTCTTTTGTTCGAGAAGCAGTTCCATCGCAGACTTCAATCATTATGTATTCCTGGTCACGAGGCAATTACGGAGGACTGACAATAATTTGCTAGAATTAGAAAGCGCTTCTCTTGTCAACTTTTTGCGAACAGTGAAGCCCAAGAAACGCAATATCTTTCATCCTCCCCATGATTTTCATACAGTATCCAATTGCATGCGAGTTCCCAGGCCTTCATTAGTTATCACCTTTTTCGTCTCCTCCGAACAGTTTTAAGCCCCATAATATCAATTCATGTAAACTGCATTATCTAAACTGATTAGAACGTTTACATTTCACAGCCTTACGCAAGATGAGTCAGTTTTCAATGTTCTCCTAAGTCTTGGTGTTCAGAATTACTTTAGAAGGGATTATAAACATGATTACCTTTGGGCTATGGGCGATAATGAGCATTTAATTTTCTAAGTTTGCAGAATTAAGCGTCTTATATCTCATGTATTGGTCAGATGAAAGCATGAGGGCAGGAACATTTTAGTCGCAGTGAACCATATGCTCTCTTGAAGGTTTTTCATTAGTTCCTTATTAATTGGAATCTCTCTAAAAACCGGCGAGGATCTTGTTGGGTGTAATACACCTTAATTTGCACTTGCTAAATACAAATTCAGATCTTTCATATACGACGTAGGAAAATGAGACATTATATGATGTGTTTCATACAGGTCTTCATAAACATTGATACACTCACCGTTGTTTCATATTGAAGGTCATGTGCCATCGATATGAACGGATCTTTCTGCTTCTTATCTTCTGCTTCCACGACTTCCTCGGTTAGATTTTTCCCATAGATAGTCTCCATCTGACTGAAACATTTTCCAATCGAGTTCAACTTCTCTCCAGATCTCTCAGGAATAGATTCTATGAGCTCGTCAATATCTCGGCGAATTTCATGAGGATCAGGGAGTTTTGCTTTTAGTAGCGAAGCACCATTATCTCCGTGTCCATATTTCCGTCCTCCTCTCTTCTTTCTTGTTATTCCATGTAGATTCGTGCATTTCTCTATAAAATAAGTCCTCAACTCCTTCCTTGTGCGCGACACTTCTACCTTGGCTTGATTCAGCAAATGTATGCACTGCGGGAGGAATATATCATGATTTAATTCGCATTCCTCACAAGTACCTTCAATATACTCCGCACACAGATGTAACTTATGGCACGTTTCCCCACCGTTGCAAGTTTTTCCAAGGTTGTAATCCTCACACACATCAGGAGCTATGGTGTCTGGCATGAGTAATTTCCTCAGTGCTTCCAAATTGATGCCTCTCAAACTGAATCGACTGATTATGCTCTTATTATGAGCTGTATCGATGTCGTGTCCGTCATCGCAATCTCGTTTTTCACATAGTCCAGCCAGGTATTTTTGGCAAATGTGGAAGGAGTGACATTCCTTCTCTCTGCATCCCTTGAAAGACAGATATTTTTCGCATAAGCCTATTGATAACTCCGTGCTCAATGATACGGGCTTCAGGGAATGAGTTCCCGACTCATCCTGTTCGGTGATCTTACAAGGTCCATTTTGTACCAATTTTGTCAATCTAGGAAGCAAGTCTTCAGGTTCCCTTCTAAAGTTTTTTGCTTGTGAGCCAGCATAACAAGGATGGTTCTCTGAGTCTCGCTTTCCCCAATCTTGGAAGCTTTTCTCCATTGACCCAAAACCATCCTGTCTTGCACCTTTGTCTTCTTTCCTCCACCTTGTCGCAGTCTTCTCTCTTCTATCTCCTTCTTTCGCTTTTCGAAATGTGGATTCTCTTATTGATGGCATGCTTGGCATTTCGTCCTCCTTGGCCCTGCGATATTGCCCTTCCTCCTGGTTGCTTATCATTCCATGACTTATCTTCTAGGGAGAAAGCGGCAGATAGTCATACATTCAAGGACGCTTAAGTACGATGGTGATTACATATAACTAGCGAGTTTGTTTACCCGAAGAGCAAACAAACTCGCTATAGTCGCGCCTTCGGCGTTCCATTGTCCGGGATATTCATTCATTCATTTATTTATTTTTAAAAGGACAAAAACGTATTAAAAGCCTGTGGCTGTCGAAATGTGTACCATGAGAGGAGGAACCGATATTTTCATCGAAGTAATTACTCCAATTATATATTGTTCACCTAACTTAAAATCGCTTTATAATCTCCCCTAAGGGGACAAGTGTGAAAAGAAGGATATGCACTCAGCAGTCAAACAGGTACTTCTGTTAGAAGTTTCAGCTTTCTTCAATTCTCCCTTTCATTGGATCAAAAGAGAAATGGGAAAATGCCCCTTTTTAATATAAAAAAGTGCTAGCAGGGGTATTATCTGAAAAATATTAATTTTACTGAAATCATTACTCGGAAAACTATTGAATACATGCCTACCACGTTTCAGTATTATCCGTTTGCCCTTCTTGCTGGTGCAAAAATATATTTGGAAAAGCCGACCCTGCAAAAAAGCTGCGCCCTGAAGCGATGCAACACAAAAGTGAAGTTTCCTTCTGAACTCAACATCACCTCAGTTATGCTTGTGCCAAGTTTCACCTCTCTCTCCCTCTCTCTGCCCAATTCGTTAAGACCAAATCTGCACTCCTTGATATGATGAAGAAGAGTGGGGAAAAAATGGAGCGAGTGTATACGGTCTATCACGTTGCTGAGCTAGCTGGCCACAAAGTTGTTCGGCTACCACCTTATCACTGCCTTTTCAATCCCATAGAGGTGGTGTGGGCAAGTCTCAAGAGCTGTTTCGCTAGGCATAACTCCCTCTTCACGTCTATCGACTGTTTCCACCTCACGCCTCAGGCTAGGGTAGCAGGATTCTCGGTCAGGTAGGCCAAAAAGTTCCTGGATGCGAATACATCAAGATTTTTGTATAGGGCTGAGAGTCTGTCCGAAGGTTAGATATTGACCTGCTAAATCCGTCCCCTCAGGAGACGTACCTTCAAAAGACATTAATCTGTACCATGGAATCCAACAACTATTTGTTTTCCTCCCCGCTTCCTTGAAGAAAATGTATGAAAGCGTACGCGTACATCTGTGGGATAGGTCTAGGCCTCCGAAATCAGTACGGGGGGAGGGGGAAAATGGAGGAGGCCAAATAATAATTTTCTCCCTTGATATTGTTTGAGTGGGGTTTCTCCCACTCTGCTGTCGTCGTCCCTCCCCCCTCCCTTAAATGGATTTTCCTTTCTTCGTAGCCCGGCGCCTGGGCCCCTTTGGCCTGTGCGCCCCGGTGCAGTTGCACCGCCTCCACACTGAATAGCTATCGAGTATACGCCACTGCCACCACTTTTCATGTAGGCCAATGAGTGAAAAATATGGATAGAGAAACGGGATGGTTACGAAGCGACCGACATCATCTTTCCGATCCAAGGCTCCTGTTCCGTACAGGTAGGACCCCGCCGTTTTCACCCTCGGGAGTCACTCGTCTCGTGAGGTGGCCGATCAACACGAGGACGGGGTTGCGATTGATACAGGGGTCGGGATCCCGATAAATATATGGGCGGAAATCTCATTCCAGCGAGGAAGTCATTCTTCCTCCAGGGATGAAAGGGGTCTCCAAGTGTAATACGCGGGGATGTGTTACGAGTCCCTGCCCTGCGGAAAAGTCTGTTTCGGAGATGTGAACGGAGGTGTATACAGGATGGTCCACGTCCCTATACCCCTGGGATATAAACTCACCCATCTTTCATTTCATCAGTCGTATGGTAGCGCTGTTTGGTTATAATTCCCTTGATGTACCCCTATTGTGAATTATCAGACGTGTTGAGGTCAGAACTTCTGGCTGGCCACCTTAGTGGAGCGGGAGATTTCACAGATCCACAACCGATCAACCTGTCAGTGAATGACTCATTCAAAAAGTCCCTCACAGTTAAGGCGTGGTATAGGGACTTCTGTATGTAGAATGCCTCTCTCTCCCGTTGTAGTGTTAGGGATGGCTTGGAGAGACACACCTCAACGTTTTGGGTTTGGTGGTGTAGTGGTAGCTCATTTGACTAGCAATTGAGAAGACCCTAGGTTCTATTCCTGGCCGTTCCATAGTGTCTTTTCGTCCTCCTGTACCATCCGAACACTTCCCCCTCCACTCTTCGGGCTATTACGTTCTCCAGAATAGATTCGACAGTCCCAACGACCGGAAAAAAGTGCTAGCCTGAGAGTAGGAGGCGTACACCCGGAGGCAGGCAGAAGGCGCCGCACATGCGCACAAGAACGCGCACACACTCACCCAAGACCCAAGCAAATAAGGTATTAACAAAGGTACCCGGTGTTGCACGGGTGAATATTGTATACGTCCCATATTTGTCTGCACTAAATAAAGTACCCCGATGTAGGTTCGGATTAAGGGCAGGTGACCCAGGCGACCTCCTGGGGCGGCATTTGATCCAGGCCCGGCCCTGCCCCGGGGGACATATACGCTCTTCAGCTCCCTTTTTTTTCATTTTTTTTTTCAAGAAAGGGTGCGTCAGAGAGAGGCATCAGCCTAGCGTCCATCCGTGGGTTGGGCCGAAGCCTACGGTGTGCCTTTTGTGGCTGTAGTCCAAGTCTGTGCCATTGCTCTGACCTAGATTTTCAACTATATTCGAATATGTAGTTTACGTTGGAAAGCGTACATGCTACATACTCACCGTTTGTCCATTTTTTGTGTCATGATCCATCGCTTCGAACATACATCTTTTTTTCTGAACCAATGCCAAAGTCTGTAGATGAAGGACGGAACTCCTTTCCTTACGAGAACGTCTTCCCATTCGCTTCACTGTAAGCCTCACTGGAGCATTGAAATATTCTTTCAGTCCATCGTTCTTTCGATAACTCTCCGGACTACAATCCAGGAGTACCGTTTCTATTTCCGATGCATTTGGTGCACTATTCTCGGTAATTTCTTCTCCCTCCGACTTAGTCTCTGCCTTCTCTCTTTCTTCTTCACCTACTTCTTCCTCGAATGCATCATGCATCGACGGCACACTTCTCCCCCGATTCTCATTGCCACCGCGGGTTGGTTCTTCCTCCTGCTGGCTTCTCATTCCGTCATTCATCTTAGAGGCAGAACATTTGCATGCTGATTTTCAGCAGGATGAGATTCCCATAATTGCGACGCGTCCTTCTGAAACACATTTTTCAGATTTTCAGAGATTGAATCCCTCCGAAATAACAGGATTGCACTGACTATGGCTCAGAGGAAAGACCTGAAGTCTGACCTTTTCAGCGAATCCCTGATTGGATTTGCACAGTGCTCATGAACTTTGTTATTTACGCCATACAAATCGAAATATTCTCACCCCACTATGCTTCCTTCATGCAATTATGGTGGCATTCGAGTCACTGCCACCCTTGACTATTTTAAAAGTCTCGGAAAAGATATTCTCTCTACATTGACGAAAATTAAATGATTTCATCCAACATACTGAACTTTACTTCGCTATGTACACAGCAGCATGATAGAACCACTGCAGAATCTTGCATCACGAGGTCCAGCTCTTTTTTCCGACAATCTGCAGTGTCGAAAGAAAGAACTAAATGTCGTAATTCAATATATGCAATCGAGTTTTTGGACACTCTCCAATCACGCAAATAACATGTACGCAATACACACCGCCTATGAACAACATCCATTACGTCTAATATATATAAGTAGGTATAGTAGTAGGTGCAAACGAACACGCTAGTAAATCATAGGAGTGGTCTATATTGGAAGGCTACAAGGTGTTGGAGTTAGTATTATACTTCTCTCTGAACCGTTCTTTAAGCTGACTCATGCATTTTCCTCTCAATTTAATTCTGTGTTCATGGTTTCCCCTCGACCACGTGAAATTTGGAATAAATTCAATATACTGTTATATTCAGCTAATTTCATTGCATTATGACTATTGCATGTCTTTATAGGAAGCAAGGTATTTGACACCAGCCACAGGGGCAAACTATGGCCTCAGCAGCCAAATACAAATGACCATTCCTTATGTCCTGAAATCCTGCATCCAGGCAACATGATCCATTTGTCAATTATATATCGGGCATTATATAGCTGCTGCAGAAGCACTGACAATACTTGACCCTTTTTGAAACACCTTGTAGCCGTACGCTGTTGGTCGTTTATTAACTTCTCGTTTTTCATCGCATAAACGGAGCAATACTTCTCCTGTGCATAACGATGTCAGGTTTCTATTTCCCTATGTACCAAGAAACAAGATGCTGCCGGGGTCGTCATTGCTTTAGGTTATATCTGGCATGATATGAACGTAATACTAGCATATGGATGACAGCAGTTTCCATATTGGACCTGTGTGTTATTCATGGCAATCCTAAACGATGAAGCAGGTTTAGATATGTTACTTGTGCATTTCCATTTCTATCATCATAATCATCTTCGAAGCCTAAAGTTGATCCCCAACTTTAAACCCTTGTATTTTCTTTAGTGTGCAGTAATTAACAATAAATATCAAGGAGAAAGACGGCAAGACTTCGTTCATCATGGCACGAGCGGCTTCATAGTATGGCCATGCGGCTAAGACATTGGCTGTAGTGCTTTTCCAGAATGTTAAGTTTAAAATT